CGGGGCGGCGCGGCGCGGGCCGAGCCGCGGCCTCGCAGCCCACCCGCCCGCTTGCTCGCCTAGCTCCTCGTCCGCCTGGCCGTCCGTCTGCCTGCCTTCTTTGCCTCTTATTTGCCTGACTGCCTGTGTTTTGATGATGCGCTTGTCCCCAACTTGCTCATCGCGACGTCTCCATGCAGCCTGCTTATATCCCGCCTTTGAAATATGTACTTGGCACCAACATTTTACCCGCCTCGAAGAATATTACAAATTAAAACCCAGGGTGGGCGTCGTGGGGCTCGGCCTGCGGACCCGGCTCGTGCACGTGAACGCGAGAGATGGGCCGACGGGCTGCAGTGCACACGTGTGATCAGCTGCTGCCCCCCACCCTTGACACGTTCGATCAGTCTGCTCTCGCTCTCTCCCCCGCGAGACTCTCTCTCGCTCGTACCCCGGCCGGGGCTACCCCGGCTACCCCGGGGGAGCACGCCCCCGCCGGCGGGGTCACACCGAGTCTCGCGCGGGGGAGGGAAGGCGCAACGATGGCTGGGCCGGCGAGGGCATTGTGTTTATGTGCGAACAGCTGACTACGGTATGGATCGCGAATTGAATCGATAGATCGACCAAGCTCAGCTGTGGGACAGCGTGGCGCGGCGTAGCGGCACGCTGGCGGCGCGGCGGCGTTGGCCGCCCTCTCCTCCCGTGGACCGGAGCTCAAAGAGTGGAGCCCGCGGCGCGCATGAGAAATTGAAAAGACCTGCTCCGCTTGGCGGTCTCGGCCTCCCCCTGTTCTCGGACCGCCCGAGGCCGCCGCCGGGCCGCGCCGTGTTCCGCCGACGTTCGAGTACCCGTTCCCGCTGCTCCCGCGAGCACTTTCGCTGTCCCGGCGCGGCAAGTTCATCAGTCAGTGCTTGGCGGCGCTCCGCCTGCTCCCCGCCACTCCGCGGCCACCCCACGACGCCGTGCTCGGCGCGGCTTTGTGCTGTATCTTTGCATCTGGCGGCCTTTTCACTCTGCAGGAAGGGGAGGACAGCACAAGGAGCGGAGCGTCACGGAGCGCGTCGTCGTGGTGCGGCGGGGCGGGGTGAGGCGGGCGCGGGGTACAATACGTTGAGCCGCTGCCGGACGCTTTTCACTTGAAGGAGAAATGGGGAGAAAGGGAGAGGGGGGTGGGGTGGGGAGGTTCACGATAGCGTCATCTTGAAGGGGGTCGCGAGTTGTTTGACGGCGGCGCGGACAGAGGGAGAAAGAGCTTGTTTCACAGATTGTGCGGTGTCGAAAGCGGCAGCGTATCATTTTTAAGGGGGAAGAAGCGGGGCGACAAACGGAAACGGACGGTCGTCACTGACAGGCGCCGTTACGCTGCTGCTGTGAGGGCGGCGCTGGCTTTAAGTATGGCGAGAGGCGAGTGAATGCGCACGGCAAGGTCTGTAAGTGACGGGGCTATACCTGACGCGCGCCAATGCGATGGGCAGACAGTCGGTGGAAGGGACGGGCGGAGCTGGCGCGTGTACATGAAGCAGCGGTGAATGGGCGCCGCCGAGGTGTAGGGGATCGATTAGACCCTGACGCGCGCAACGGCAAAGGCGATAGCCCCGCCCCACGCTTAGCGCTTGGCCAGAGGACCGCTGCTGCTGGGCCATTTCAAAGACTTATTTCAAATTATGCGAAATTAGTGACAAACTGGTCCGGGCGGCGGCGGCAGGAGGTATGGCGAGTTTTCCCCCTTGCTGGCACAGCACAGCTGTGTTGTATGTGCGTGTGTGTGTGAGGCAGAGCGTGCGACGGCTGCAGCGCCAACACCGGTTATGGGGTGTGGCGGGGGGATATAAGGTGCTAGTGTTGGAGGGCGAAGCAGGGAGATCAGATAAAATAATGAGAGATGTCCGATCCCCTCTCCCCCTTTTGTGTTTTCTTCTTACCTGCCTTTCTCATTGTGTCGGATGAGGGGGGGGGGGCATCCTCCTGACTTTTCCACGGGATTGAACTCGCCGAAAGGGACAGACGTGTGTGTGATAGCCCCCTTCAAATGTCTGACGGTGCTGTTACTAGTAGTTGTATAAAGTGCGTGTGAACGGCGGGCGTCTGGGGGAAGGGGCAGCGCTCTCATCAGAGAGGAGGAAAGACAATCATGTTGTTGAGCGTTTTTAGCCGAGTACGGCACTACTTTCCCCCGTGCGCGTAGTACGTGAGGATACCGGTGGGAAACTAGCTCTCCCCTCCCCTCCCCCTCA